ATATCAAACTATTATATATTAAATAAATTATAGCTAAGAAAAAAATCTAAAAATACTGTAAAGAAAACTTCAAGGATATTTTAACACCGACATAGTCCTTCTTTGCTTGAGATGTTACTTACGTGCAAATCTAGTAACAGGTTTTCTGAACTTCCTGTAGAATTTTTCTTTTGTTTATTTTCTTCAACAGTAGTTCCCTACAGATATTAAGAGTTCATTTCCAAATTTTCTTATAGTCTTATTTCTCATGTTTTTGTCCTAAGTATAGTACAATTAAGTCTGTTCTTCTCTATTAACTATCCCTCTATTGACCTTTATCTGAACCCATACCTCCATATATATAAATCTAACTTTTCATCTTTTGATTCAACTATCTTGATACAATTTTGCTGAAAAATATAAAAATACCAGACCTTGAAAAATTCAAGTTAGAATCTGAAAACTATAAGTACCTGGATTTTAGAGGAAGACACCAGGATCTTAGCAGAATGTATATTTCCCAACAAGAAGGTGATGCTAGCTGATGAGACAAAAGTCCAAAACTTGGGATTCTTGATGGTCTTTGATATTTAAAATCCAAAGCCACCTTTAAAGAAAAAGCAATAATTGTGCAGGCTAACAGCTTTATCAATTTCTCCTATAATAGAGACTAACAGGTGAGCATGGAATGTAAGAACAAAAGCAATTCGGATGCAACCACACAGGAAGCCTTTGCATTTGAAATATCTATAGGTCTGTGGACTTTTGTAAGTCTGACCTTTAGTTATTTTTACATACCTTGCATATTTTCAGCAATGACCAATATGTGTCCCTCATAGCTTAGATTTTCAGATTCAATGAAGTACAGGCATTGTGTATTGGGAAAATAGTTCATTCTTACCACCACATATCATTTTTCTATTTATGTACAATATATTATCAAATATCTCATCCTACTTTCATTTACTCTCCTAGGTAATAGAACTTTAAAAGTAATGTGTGTGATGTCATTGATTTCTTCAAGGTCAAGAATGGTTTAAAAAATAAAAGAATAAAGTCATATATCAAGAGGTATTCTAAAGATACACTATTTAAGGCAGTAGAGTACTGTGAAAACATGGTGCCAAAATACAAAAACCAGCATTAAACTGTCACATAGATTGCATATATATTTATGACAAAGACATCCAAATATTCAGTGAAGAAAACTATGTACTTCAAATAAAAGTGCTTGAAAGAACTAAAGCAATTTTGATATTTACTCATTACAGTGTAGATAAAAATTATCTTGAAAAGAATCACTTGCAGAAGAAACAAACAATATTTAAATGATTCTTGGATAGATAACCCTCCTAATAAAAAAAAAAGTGATGAAGAAGGAAGATTGAGGTGGAGGTATGGCTCAAGTGGTAGAGCACTTTCCTAGTAAGCATGAGACCCTGAGTTCAAACCCCAGTACCATCTCAGAATCATCAAAATGTTGGCTGAGGGTAAAGTCATCTGAAAACTATCATAAGGGTGGAGAGCACCTTTGCTGAAAAGGCTCATGACAAAGCTATTGGAATTAGACTTTAGCTCTTGTAGACTGACCATAGAACAGGGAACATACTGTTCCCTGTCACACAAGCTTTTCAACAGGTCTGCTCATGATACTATAACTGGCTTCTCTCAAGTCGATTCTTTTATGACCTAGCCTCAGAAGTGGTGTATTGTATTGCTTTGGCCACCAGATCAACCCTGATACAATGTGGAAGGACATTACGCAGGTACACCATTGGTGGACATTTACAGATTGGTTATAATATATACTTTACTGAGCTTTTACCTTTTAGAATGAACACAACTGAAATTAGACATTATCCATAATATTTATACCCTCTGGGTTTGAGTACTCTTCATTGCATCTGAAGTTAAGAGAATACAAACTGGCTCTGGGAAATAGTATCCTACCACATGTGATTTGCACACTAGCCTATTTCATAGGGGAAAAAACAAAAAAGGAAAATAATATAACTTTCCCCAGACAAAATATGATGAATCTCTAATTAGTGGGATCAAAAGAGAATTATTAGAAAATCCTATTCATAAAAGAAACCTGTCCCATCCCAAAGTCTATTTCCAGGATGAAGAAAAGCAGAATACAGAGAATACTGCAAATAAATAAATAAATAAAAATTAAACTGACCCTGTAAACCTGGACTGAGCATGACTAATGTGGTGATAGCATATTGTGAGAAATACACGGCCTGAGTGATCCTCCATTCAAGCCAGAACTTCCCATAAAAATGTTCTGAAATGACAAAACAGCTAAAAAATAACATCTGAGTTATAATTAGGTATCAATAGGAATTTTCTTCTGCCAAAGGAGATAATTCTGGCATAGTTTCCTCTACGAAATTAGGCATTATCCACCACATTTAACTCTGTTTTCACTGTTCTAATTACAATGAATGTTCTGATAAAGGAAGAGCAAGTTTTGGACATCTGATGGGGTGAAGGGGTGAAAAGCTACAATGTAAACATATACTTACGTGTGGTGAAAGGAATACAATTAATTATAGCTAGATCAAAGGAATAAATTCCAAAAGTCTATTATACATCCAGGTGATGATAGCTAACAATGACAGTATATTAGCAAAAAATAGAGAGAGTGGATATTATGTACTCTCATCACAAAAAAAGAAAAACATGTTAGGGAATACATTTGTTAATTAGCTAGCTTTAAGCATTCCATAATGTACACTTCAAACCTAATTTTGTACACAATGAAAGATATGTTATCTATATATTTTAAATGAATGAATTAATTAATGAAAGAAAAACATTTGAGATTCATACTGGGCCAAAATGAAATAAACAAGCCAGCTTTGGTTCAATACAGAGAAGCTCACTCCAAGTAGCAAAAACAGAACAGAAAAAAATTACCTTATGGAGAAAAGATAAAGAAATAGGATAATTGATACCAAAAATTATTGATTTTCATTGAGTTTGTCTATACTATGCTTAAATTTCAATAAGAAACAAATCATTTTATAATCACTGAGAAACAAAACTAAAACACTCAAATCTTCAGAAAATGCAGTGGATAAGTTCTCCTAGTCCAAGTTAAATTTTGAAATCTATATTCTGTCCTGTGTCTTGAACCATTTAACAGAGCATTTTTCCTAAGACAACCTTCATGCAATAAGGCAAAGAGTTTGGTTCGTAGTCCTGTTATATTCATATTTTGAGAAATAAAATTTAGGAGGACCCTAGTCCTGACCCTTTAGATGTTAAAAATGGACTTTGAGTTCTCAATTGTTTTATATATGTATATATATATATATATATATATATATATATATATATATATCAAACTGGTGTAAGTGACTCAAACCTATAATCCTAGTCGCCAGCAAGTTGATGTGGGGGTGTGCAATGGAGTTGTTGAGACCAATCTCAACCAATAGCTTAGTGTGGTGTAGCTGTCATCTCAAGCTATACAGAAGTCTGAGGTCTAGAGGCTTAGGGTTCCAGACCAGTTCAAGCAAAGAGAAAAGTTTGTGAGAGCCCATCTCAATGGAAAACACTAGATGTGATGGCATGTGCCTGTCATCCCAGTGATGGCAATAGCCTAAAATAGGAGAAACCTTGTCTGGCAAAAATGGGAGACCCTATCTCCATATAATCAGAGCAAAAAGAGCTACCAGTATGGCTTAAATGATAGAAAGCCTGCCTAACAAGTGAGGCCCTGAGTTCAACCTGCAGTGCTGCTAAAACAAAACAAAAACCATCAAATTGTTATGTCAATACCTATTTTTTAACAGGTGCACACAATAGTTTTAAAAAGGATTTAGCTTTTAATAGGTGTAAATTCTGGGAAATTGCATCCATGTCACAGGTTTTACACTTTGTTGTTGTCCATATCCCTTCTTTAACAAACTGAGAAGTCCCTGAGTAAACTAGGTTACTCTCTCCCATTACAAGAATGGAATTGTATTAGATACAAAATTTTTAGGATAAGGAATAAGATTTTCAATGCACATGCAAGTGGCTGTGTACCTGATGCTTATGCATAAGACAAAAATTAAGTACTATTAATCCATACGACTAAGGCATTGATTCCCTTTACTCTTGAAAAATTTGGAATTAATCACATGGGAAGTGATATTTGGTCAACAACTTGCAATCGTTCTATACAACTCCAGAACATAGAGCAGATATACAGATGTATTCTCTTCTGAAGCAAGATGACACATTTGCAAACAGTATCATATGACACTTTCAGCTTTAAAATAAAAAAATGTATTTATAGCCTGACATGGTGGCTCATGCCTGTAATCTCAGAGACTTGGAAGGCAGAGATTGGGAGGATTGTGGCTCACTGCCAGCTAGGCAAAGCATTATCAAGATCCTGTCTGAATGCAAAAGCTGAGCATAGTTGTGCTTGCCTGTAATTCCATCCATGTTGGAAGATTAAGTAGGAAGATCTCTGTCCAGGCTGGCCTGGGCAAAAACCTCAAGACCCTACCTGAAATATAAGTAAAGTTAAAAGGACTGGGGTGTGGTTCAAGTGGTAGAGCATCTGCCAAGCAAGCATGAGACCCTGAGTTCAAATCTAAGTACTACCAAAAATGTGTATATCAAATATTGAGAAAGAGCATTAAAATTATTTTTGCTTCAGAAAAATGAGGAGAGACTGGATATTTTCAATTTAGTATGCCATACAAAGACTGAAATGATATTGATATATAACCTTTGGTGTGGATTAAATTTTATTTATATTTCTTCAAAGAGAATTTACAAAAATAAAATTATATTTAACAGAAAACATATGAATGAGATCAAAATATTCATAAGATGATTTAGTTTTCACTTTATAATTTGAGGTATATATATAGATTCCATCAATTTTACAGTATATGATTTTGAATATATGAAAAGTGTATGATAAGTCACAGTTTGAAACATTTTAGAGACTTAAGAAAGAGGTAACTAATAATAACATAAAAAGTAAAGACACCACTTTTAATAATTCTGGATCTTTATTATTTAACCACTCTGCCTCAAAAAAAACCATTTAAATAAGTTGCTGCTTACAGATAAAATTATTTTTCTTTTCACAGTGTTCTTCCAAAAAACTTCGGCTTGGAGAATACATCATGCAGTAATTTGTACTAATCTTTTGAGACGTTGGAAATCTGTAATGATAAAGAAAGTATTAGCATTTTGAGGAAAAAGTAATAAGAATATTCAGGAATTTATTTTTATTTAGTGACATAGCTTTTAAAAATACTTGAGATATTAACAAACTGAGTCTTTTTTTTTCTTTCAATGGTCACAACCTTCAATATCTTAGAGTACAATGTTACATAAAACTCAATTTATTATTCTTTCAATAACTGAGGACAGAGTATTTGGTTTTGGTTTTATTTATTATTGTTGTTATTATCATTATCATCATTATTATTATTACTTTACCATTATCAGAATGGCTTTGATGCAAGAGCATCCTGAATAGGGATGCTTTCCTACTTCTCCCTACTTTATCCTGTTGTGCTAAAATTTAAAAAAAAATAAAGAAAGGAAGAAATTGTTTTGATGTGTGATATGTTTTACTTCTATTTTGTTTAAGAAATTTTGGTTTAAAAAGACAGAAAAAGAAATATTGGTTGATCTGATCTACGAAAACAAGGCATTACATCCTATGTTTGTGAGTGAAAATGAGATTCAAAAAAACAAATATATGGAAAATAAGCTCTCAATACATATTTGAAATGTGGAAGAGTGCTAAGAGTATCAGGCTCCACCATAATAAAGAAAATAATAGATACACAATTTTCCCTGTACTATGTGTGTATGCCTCCAAGTTCTGGACTGAGGTGAAAAGAAAAAAATATATATATATATGTATAGTATATATATTTTTATATATATTTTTATACATATATTTTATAATATATTTATATATATATATATAAATATATATATATCCAAGTTCTTATGGTCACAAATACACTAGCTTTCTTGTCACTTGATCATAAATTTGGGTGTTCTAGGTGGAGTTGTGATTGTCATTCTGTTGCCGCTATTTTTTAAAACTCTTTTAGCATATAAAAGTTGAATAAGAAGATACATTGTGATATTTACATATGTGCTTACAATGTATCTTAGTTAGATTTATTACCTCCATGGTTCTCCTTCCTTTCCCGTCCCCCCTTCTTAGAACATACTCAACAGGGTTCATTCTTCTGCTTTCATATATGGATACAAAATACATCCACCACATTCACCTTCATTCACCTTTTTCCTATGGCCTCTTCCCTCCCACCTGTACCTACCCTGTACCTTCCTGTAGCTCATTTTTTAAACGTATATTGATAGTTCAAGGGAGTTTCACCTTGGCGTTTCAGACATGTATATATCGTGCTTTAATCATTATTAGCTCTCTCATTACTTATTCTTTCTTTATCTCCATACTCCCCTATTATTCAGCAGCTTATAGTGTACTGCTTTATGTTATATTACATTCAGATGGGAATATTGTATTATATTCAGATGTTATATTATATATAGATGGGAAGTTTCAATATTTTTCACTCTCTAACATTCTCTTTCCTCTCCCACATCTTGTAGTCCACTCACACAGACCTCCTAATACAATCTTGCTCTCTCTCTCTTACCATATGATCACATATGAACATATATGTATTTATGTGTACATTTAACTTATAGGTCTCACTTCTACATATGAGGGAAAACATACAACCTTAGAGTTTTTTAAGTTTTTTATACTGGCTTAGTTTGCAGTTATATCGATTTGCCTAAAAACAACATAATTTCATTCCTTATGGCTGAATAAAACCTCATGTGTATCTATACCACATTTTCCTAATACATTCATCATTTGTGGGACATTGTGAACATTGTGAAGAGTGTGTGTTACCACTATTGTCCCTTGCATATCTTCATGCTCTGCACAGGTTACTGTAACTACAGTGCCCCTGAATGGTGCCTTCACTAGTCAGAACAAAAGATAAATTCAAAAAGAGAAAAAAAAACCTTAATGGCCAGAAACTTACAGATCTTGGGAGGGAACTGAGCCATCTTCCCATAGCCAGGCTGCATGTTCTTTATTATAAAACATTCCAATCCAAAAATGTGTTTGAATGGAGTTCAGAAAATGGCCCTTGGAGACAGAGAAAGCACAATAAACATATTTTAATTTTCTCTGATAATCAGGTACTTTCAAGAAAGTAGTATTCAGAATAAGAATCAGAACACTCTATTAAACAAATGAAAATAACTTGTAACTTCTAATTTATAAGGTTTAGACACAAATTTCCTTTATGAGGAAAATTACTACAAAATATAACTTCTTGAAATGATGAAAAATGTCATAGAGTTTTCTTGGAATACTTCCTTCCCAAAGAAGCAATGATCAAATTCAATCTCAAATTAACAGTATCTTGAGGGATAAATCTCATGAGTAAAGCCTGCTCAGCTGATATTTATCACAGATTCTGCATGCACCTTGAGAATTTCACTTTCCATAAAAAACGAATATTTTTTATGATCACACACCATTACTGGTTCCACATTATATCCCAGAAAGATGACAAACACCACATAATTTTAAAAGAAATGATAAATTCCATTAGAAGAGCTAAAAATTACAAAGTCACTTGGTTCTTTGACCAAAATTACTCAAACTGGTGATCTATTGCTTCTTCCTTTAACTCTCCCTGAAGTTTCTTGCACCTTGTATGGTATCTACCCATACTTTTTATCCCTTTGATGTAAATCTTTGAAGAATTTTATGCAGGTTTTCTAATGATTATTTCAGGGTACATGAATTCATAGGTCACTAGTTAAAATATAACTATTCATTTTTCTATCAGATTAAAGACTTGAATCAAAGTATGTATCTTCTCAGTATATATTATAGATCAAATACAATATGAGAAACAAGAATTAAGTCAAGCACTAATGGCTTACTCCTGTAATCCTAGCTGCTTGGGAGGTTGAAATCAGGAGGATTATAGTTTGAGGTCAGCCCCAACAAATCGTTTGTGAGACTCCATGTCCAAAATAGCTAGAGCAAAATGGACTGGAGGTGTGGATCAAGCAGTAGAGTGCCTGATTTGAAAGTGTGAAGCCCTGAGTTTAAGTCCCAGTCCCACCAAAATAAGAAGAAAGTACATGCCAATTCACCACTGTTTTTGAGCTGAAACAGACTGGCGTTCCTAGAAGCACAGAAATGCCTACTTTCTTCCCAAGTGCTGCTTTCAGTAGAAAAGAAGTAACAGTTGCATTGGTAACCAATCCACTTGTCTGAGCAAGAACAGCAGTCAGAGACTAAGGAAAAAATAATAATGTCAGATGTCATTGAAGGTTTTAAATCTTTTTACTGCTTAATTACTCAAAAAATTTGGAATTTATTCATTTTTACAACTATTCTTTGTGAATCTACTATATATACAACAGTTCAGGGGATATTAAAGTGAATAAACCATACATGAAAATTGTTTCTCATTGAGATATTTCTGAGATAGCTTCAGGATTACTAAATTTCCAGTTATTAGTTAACTGGAAGACTGTTGGAGGGGATGGGTTCAATTAGATAAGGGGGCAAAACAAACACAGGATGTTAAAATAGCATGTAGCGGATTATAGGATGGGGGCTGTTAGAAGAACATTTTTTGAAAGAGTTCCCCAAAACTAAGGACTATGACAAAAAAGCCAAGGCTAGAGCTGGGTCAGCAACTGAATTCCAGTTTGGAGGCAGAATTGGTCATGGACCTGGTCAGCCACCTCCCTAATATTGGGGAGGATTTTACTGTATTGAATAAACTTGTAGCCAGAAAAAAAAGAGCTAACTATATATTATGAGAGATTTAAAGGAGTAAAATATTTTACCGTATTTTCTGAGTCATAAAAGGAAAAGGCACTTTGAAATAATTCTGTTATGTTTCTATATTCTATTTTTCAAAGATGAAGATAATAAACCAATTTTATTCAACTCTGATCAATGACTAATAGTGTATTCAACATTTCTTTTCCTCAATAATAAAACATTTCTTTTCCTCAGTAATGAAAATCACGGAAAAATAACAAACACTCATATCTTTGCTAAATAAATGGTACTGTAGCATTGGGATAAGAATAAAAGAGCATTGTATAATTGTAGAAGACAGTAAATTGAGAACAGCTTTTGGAAAAATATGCTTTTAAAACTGGACTTGCTGCTAGCTTTCACTAGATAAGTGATTCACGAGTAGAAGAAAAGGTAAGAACAGGAAAACATGCATAATGAGAATTAACAGTAATATTCATTGTAGCTTAATTATTATTTATTACTTAATCATGAGAAAACACAGGCAACACATGGCTGTATTTTCTTTATTCATAAAATTCATAAATGATGCACTGCTATAATGTAGGTCTGAGCATCTTCATGTGTGGCCAATGTGTGAGAGACTTGGTGCCCAGTTTGTTGCTCATAGGAGGTGATAGAACCTTGGAATTGTAGGACCTAGTAGGACACTCAAAGGAGATTGTAGGACCCTGGCATCTTCCTTTTCCTCTTTCCCTCTTTCACCTTCTGACCATGATTCTGTCACCACATGCTTCCACCATGATATGCTGTTTTGGATAGGTCCACAATTAATAAGGCCAATGAATCATGGACTAAAACTTCTATATCTGGGAGCCAAAATGAACCTTTTCTCTAATAAATTGATTATCTAAGGCATTTCTTACAGTAACAGAAAGCTGACAATCACATGCACATCCAATGTAATGTAATTTTCCTTACATTAAAGAACAGTGATGCAGTACTATGCTAAAATTAGTAGGCAGACTTGCATTACTACATGTAGTATTCCCTCATTGTCCTGTAAGTGAAAAAAGAAAACCCTGTCTACTTCGACTTTTATCAATCATAAGTTTTACCAAAGAATAGAACATACCTTCTTGGAATTCTATGATGGGTCCCAGAGATAATGCTGTCTGAATGCTTTGTTTAGTAAATGCTATAAGAAATTATCACAGATTTGCTTAATTAGGGATGGCTTTATTTAAAACTACAATATTACACATTAATAAAATTAAAACTTTATTATTAAATTACTTTGATCTTTATATAGACTTGCTTAGAAACACTTACAAATTTTCATCAAAATTCCCAAAGTAGCCATTAAGAAAAGGCACATTACTCCAAAGACCCCAGAAGTCAATCTCCACAGAATGATCTGAGAAACTATAGGGAGAAAAAAAGGCATTTAGAGAAATGACTCAAAGAACAAATATAACAGCTGAAGTTCTTAAGGATACAGGAAAATGGGGGTGCATCCAAAGAACAGGTCCTGCTTGGGGGGTTGCTACCAGTGGGAGGGTAGAGGAGGTAGGGAAATTGTATGGGTGGGTGAATAGAGTACAAACACTGTGTACACCTATATGCAAATGGAAAAATGGTACCTGTTGAAACTGTTCCAGGAATGGGGGGAAGAGGGATTAAGAAGACTGTTGGAGGGGATGAGTTCAAGTATGATATATTTGATATATTGTAAGAACTTTTGTAAATGCCACAAAATACCTCCCAGCACAACAATAAAAAATTAAAGATAATTTTTTTTAAAAAATATTCTTTATTTGATAAAATAGACGTTGCCCTAAAGAAGCACTCAAAAAGGAAGACATTCCATTCAGGATACCACCCAATACCAACATTTTTATATGGTATGCCTTATTCTTCTATGAAACTATCCATACATGTGTTTCTTTGCCAATTCTGTCTCAGTAAAGTGAATTTAGCATTCATTTCTTAAATTGACAAAAAAGCTTTGATATCTGCAGTAAGAAGAGATGAACAGACATCATATTGTATTTGGTGGATTTGCTAAACATTTACTTTTTGATCTCACCAAAATAACAACATAGGTATGGTTACCATTGAACAGATGAGAAAAATCATCCAATAATAATTTATTATTTTCTTATGGTATCAAATTTAGCAAGAGTCCACATCAAAAATCTGTCTAGAGCCCGAATCTTTCATTTATCATGCTCTACCATTGTCACAATGGTATTACTTAAGAGTGTGTCTTCTCCTAATCTCAGTGTAGGCTCTGCTCAGACAAACTAGTTTAAAGAAGTAAAGGGAAGAAGGCATAGAGGATACTTTGTGTGATGAAAGGTCCACAACCAGTGTGTAAGGTGGGGACCTAAGTTCACTTCACAGCACAATGAATTATGATACATAAACATTTTTCTTTTTGCTTTTTACAAAAACCTTACATTTGTTCATATTCAAAATTACTTTTTGACTAAAATATTTCAACATTAGGAGATTCTGCATCAACATTAGCACACCCTCAAAGAGTGTTATTGCCATTAACAACAGCATAATGACCAGCCAAACTGTGAAATCTTGGGGTATCACAACACAAGTATTAACTCTTAAAATTATTTTATTTTTTTGAAGTATTATACAATAACACTATGAGAGGTCCCATGATAATTCCATACATGTGTACAGTGAACTAGTCCCATCAAATTTGCATCACTCATCTTCCACCTCACCTCTTCTTCAATAGTGTTTGGTGGTCTCCATTATGCTGTCTTCATACAAATATTAAATTTGCAAAAACTTCTAAACATTTTATCATTAATATTTGGCACTCTCCATTAATCTCTATGCTAGCAATATACTGTTCACAATTTAACCAATTAAATTCAAGTTTCAATCTGAATGTAGAAGTATTCCTGACCAAAGTCACTATTTAACTCTATTAGAAGATGATTACAAGGATTTTGGTCCACAAGATCATGTTCAATTTACAAAATGAAAAACCAGCAAAAATAATGACTGCAGACAGTGGTGACACGTGGAAAGCCTAAAAGTAAACACTATTAATTACGTTTTTTTCTTAAAGCATTGTCCTGGTGTCAGCTAATCCATGAGATATCTTTTCTGGTTATTTTTAATGTTTTAATCTTATGACTGAGCTGCACATACCTGCCATGAGAAATGACGTTCCAAGGTCAATGTGGAGAAGACACAATACGTGCTTATTTAAGAATGGTGTTGGATCATGGACCTGAGCAGGAGGCTAAGGATGAAGAAATTAAATGTAAAAAAGAAAAATAAAAGTGGTGCATTTCAATGATGTTCTTGATTCAACTGCTGGCAAAACGTATGCATAGCAAGTATAAAAAAAAATCACAAGCTTCTAAAATGTTCTAGGAACCACAACACAGGAAATTATCACTGCACTTTGAGAATGCAAACACTTTGACTAGAACAAAAGAAGTTGAAAGGGAGTTTGTTTCCAATGTTTGAATGTCAAAGTTGTCCTAAACTATTTGGAAAATAGGAAAAGAGATGCATGAACCAATGATAAATTTGCTTAGTGTAATAAATCCCACTCAGAACTTTTCTTTCTTAATAACAGCTAAAGCACTTAGCATGAGCTAACTCACTTACTTCTAAAACTGACTTGGTAGTAAGACTGAAAAATTTTAGCAGTAAGGAAACACAGGGATAGTGGAGCTGGGTGACTTCCCCATTGCCCGTTAGTATTGAAATCCAGGCATTCCTTCTACAGAGCACACGTGCAATACATTTCAAATCAAGCCCATCTCTACATTTATAGATTTCATAGATTTTCATTTATCTTCCTTTGCACAAGCTGTGGCAGGCAAAATTCAAAAAGATAGAAACTATTCTTCCACTTACACACACACACAAACACATGAATGTGCTCTAAAACTCTCACAGTTAGTATAAAGCAATACTTCAGTGGCTCACCCACATTAGCCTGGAAAGCTTCTTTCAACATCACTGCCCACTCCCTTAAAGTTCTTTGAACATTACTTCTTTACTAGCATGCTAATTATTGTAATTGGTTACTGTGCTGTATTATTCAGATAATGTACAGATCCTTCAGTTTTTGTCATCAGGTGAGCAACCTTATTAGTGAGAATTTCAAACGTGGATCAGAATAAAAGTTGTGAGGTAAGTTCAGTTTTGTGTAACAAAAAACCTGAACGCTGCCTTGATTGCTACCTTGGTTGTTCAGTTGTTGCCTCATGTAAAACTGCCTCAATTTAAAAAGGAGTTTGGGATTTTGATTTTAGTTTTTCTTTTGAGATGGTACCAATGTAATAGAATTGAAGAAGGAATTATACTTTAAACTAGCATAACCACTTTTATAAGTTTTCAGATTCATGCTTGGTTACACTTGCAGTAGTCACCATCCTTTCTCTTTTTATTCTTAGCTCACTGACTCAGAAGTAAAAATCCAGAAAAGATGGTTGACTCAGACCCACCAGTTCAAACCCACCAGTTCAAGACAGATGATGACTAAATATATGCCTATGCACACACAAGCACATACATTGCAAACCCTCACTTTAATTCTTTCTAAGCTACCTTGTATGAATGATTCTTTCCTTCCTTTTTCATAAGAAAATAGTTCAATCTTTTCCATGCCATGGTGTCCCTTCCACACATTTCCACTTGTAACACAAGTTATCACATGAATATTTGGTAAACTGACAAATACTGCCTGTGTCTTTGTATCTGTGAGCTATTTTTTTTCTCTGAGAACTGCTAAAAATCATTGCTGCCCTCTTACATGGTTGTGAAAGTCCAAAAGTGCTGGATCTCAATCAATGAATCTGAGGATTTGGTAAAACTCATCAACATTCTCCTAAGAAAAGACAATTCTGAACACTGTGTTCAATTTCCCAGAATCTATCAACTGTGGAAAGCTCTAGTCTCCTCTAAATAGCTAGATTAAGAGAAAAGAACATAAATTTTGCCCTTTCCACTTCTTGTTTTTTTTATTGTTTCATGAAACTTTTTTTTAATCATTTATTCACATGTGCATACATTCTTTGGGTGATTTCTTCCCCCCTGCCCCTGCCCCCAACCCTCTCCCCCCCTCCCTTCCAGACAGAACCTTTTCTGCGCTTTTCTCCAGTTCCATTGACGAGTAGAAATAAGCAATAATAAGAAAGCATTTTTGCTAGTTGGGACAAGGACAGCTATACAGAGAGATTCCTAGCATTGTTTCCATTTACAAATGTGTTACATCGCAGGTTGATTCATCTCTAACTGATCTTTACACTGGTTCCTGATCCCCTTCTCATGTTGACCTCTGTTGCTTTAAGGTTTCTACATTAGTTCCTCTAGAGTGGGGACATCAGATGCTTTCATGTTTTGGGTTTTCTATCTAACCCTGTACCTCCCGTATATGTTCTCCCCTTGTCATGTAACCCAAGTCCTGCAACATTGCTGTATTTGCCCTAGATCTAAAGACCACATATGAGGGAGAACATAAGATTTTTGGTCTTCTGAGCCTGGCTAATCTCACTCAGAATGTTCTCCAGTTCTGTCCATTTACTTTCAAATGATAAGATTTCATTTTTCTTCACGGCTGAGTAAAATTCCATTATGTATAAATACCACATTTTTTTGATCCATTCATCAATAGTAGGGCATCTTGGTTGTTTCCATAACTTAGCTATTGTGAATAGTGCTGCAATAATCCTGCATATCCACTTCATGTTTTAACAGTGACTTATACCTTCTATATTCCAAATAAACTGCACTCAAAATGTTTCTACAGAATCATCACAGACTGACATTCCATTAACTACAGAGCTTCATTAAATCTAAGTTTGCTTTTGAAAAGTTATGTATTTTACCAAAAGACCTATCTCCCTTTATAGTTCCCTCACTCCTCTTGTGTCTTCTAAAGGTAACCATACTGTAATTTCTAGTGTCCTTGGTCACAGCAAGTGATGACTTCATTAAGTAAAACATTGTTTAAACTTGAACAAAGAGCCAGGGAAAAGAAAGTTAAGATATGAATAGTGAAATCTTTTATCTACCTAGAAAAAACTAAAATATTGCAGAACATTCTAGTAGTATACATTCCAAGATCCCCAAATGAGAAATTTATTTCAGTTGCACTGCTTTTGAAAAAGATGTGCTTTCTCTGAGTGGAAAGAAAATTGTTAATACCATGCTGAAATTCATTTCCTTTCAAGAGGGATGGAGGGCTCCCTGAGAAAGAAAGACAATTCTGAACTGGAAGTGTATGCCCACAGAAAACCTATTAATGAATATAGTATTAATGAATACTGTAGGGTTTTGTTTGCTAAAATATTTATGCATGCAATATTTTTATTGGGATATATTAGCTATCTGAAATTGCTTATGGCAAATAAACAAACTAGAATCTAAGGGTTGGTAGAGTATGGCTTCCTGGAAAATGTCACATGAGTATATAACCATCTGAGTAAAATCTGGAAATGCATCTCTTTTTGGGTAAGTCATAGAACCACAAACATCCTTTTGAGATGTCATATGTTAATCTGTTAGTCTGGGCCAGAGTGCCCTAAAGTGGAAAGAAAAGAACTGCACGGCTCATTGCCAGACCAGACTTTTCCCTGCTCTGTCTGAACCTCACAATTATAATATGTTGAAATTGTTAGTAAAACTTGGTCTTAGGTGAAATTTTTGATGATGGCTGTGAGTCTGATTTAACAATCCAGTTCTTAAGGGTAACTTCCTGAGGGATTGGTAAATTTTGCCTACATAAATAGTCAGAAATAAATCATGTAATTATATATGTGGAATCAAACACCCCCTGCTGCTCATCTTCACTTGAAGTTGTCATTAGCCCCCTGTTAGATCCATAGACACTTTTGTTGTGTGTTATAAGACTTCTCCATCTCTTGCTCTGGGACTTCTTTTCCCCAAGTGTGTTAAAACCTTTCCTGCCTTTACACCAATGAATCCTCAAGACCTGATATAAAAATATAAGTTTCTTGTGTTTTTTTTAATCCACCTCATTTAAAATAAACTACATATAAAGCAATGGAACATCCCATACTTTGTATTACTAGATAGCACAGGTTCTAAGTGCAGCCACAGCAAGAGACACATAAAAGTATGGACCAATTCTTGTATATTCATATCACAATATTATTCCACAGGTTATAGCATAAATGTCAAAAGGTTATATCACAAGACCTGGTGTGGTGGTTCATGCATGTAATCCCAAGCATAAGAGCGGTGGAGATTGCAGGGTCATAGTCCAAGGCCAGTGTGGGAAAAAAAGTTAGTGAGACCCTATCTCAAAAAACAATAGGGCCTTATGGCTCATACCTGTAATCCCAGTTAGGTGGGTGTTGGAGGAAAGAGGATCATCAATGGAGGCCAGCTCTGGGCAAAGTGCAAGACCGTGTCTGAAAAGAAACTGAAACAAAAAGAGCTCGGGGTGTGGCTTACCTGGTAAAGTACTTGCCCCCGAAAATACTTTTATCATTTAAAACACACATATGAATCCAAATTATTTTAATTCAAAGCACTTTAGTTGAATTTGAATTGAATACTAAGACTGAAACTTTACACTGAGATCGATTAAAATTATGATTGCCTATATTAATTCGAATCACCTGAAGGAGAAAGCATTAACTCAATCTCTTTACTTGAATGACACATCAGAGAAAGGCCAGCTTCACTCAGAACAAAATGCTTAACGATAACCATCTACTGGAGACTGAGATACAGACCTTCTAGGATGTTACACTTTGCCAAACTGGCAATCATGTCAATATTTTTTGTTTACTTTTGGCTTTGTTTTGTTACTTTTTAAATGTATTTCTGAATGAGTTTATCACAGGTCCACATGTCTTAGTTTACTGTGAGACATAACTAATTGTGAAAACATGAGTGAGGAACACATGTTGAAGTAAGTTATTTTTTAAACAGCTCTTGTATTTTTGCCCAGAGTTGGCCTTGAACTTTATTACCTATCTCTGCCTCCCAATTAGCTGGGATTAGAGGTGTTCACCACCTGTAATATTTTGCATAATTGAGTATAATATCAAAACTAAGAAACTGGAATTGGTACAATCCATAGACCTTATTCAGATTATATTGCTTTCATACATATTTACTTGGTTATGTGTGCTTGTGTGAGTGTGTGTAATTATACACAGTTTGATTGTGTGAATTTCTGTAATCACCAACACATAATCTCTCAGTTTACATTCCAGAAAATAATTGTGAAGAGTTATTTTGTTAAAGTATGGTTACTATTTTTTAAAAAAGAGTAAATATTAAAATATTTCCTTTAACAATTTTTCTATTAA